AGGGCACAAGCTGGCGCAGGGAGAAGGTGACTCCACAGTGACAATGGAACCTGCGTCACATAGCCTTGAGCAAGGGCAGGTCTAAGTCGACATTGAACTTGGCTGTCAGGCTCAGATAGTTGTGATTTACCAGAAACTAGACTACCACTAGAAAGCGCGATATGCACAGCGTTGTGACAAACACCAAGAGTAAGACCACTGTCATTGCCCTACGGAGTAATGGTTTCCTGCCCAGCGTGAGCACCAGACGATAAGAGTGGTGCGACGAGGTCAAGGTCACCCTAACAGTTTCCGCTGATAAAAAGTGGTCCTCGTGTGTTCGACGACTGCTACCAATCAAAAATCTTTTAGGGGCTGCCTGGCCTAAGGTACACACTGAAGGCCTGCACAGTATCCAGGGTTCCCGTATTTTGAGTTGGGATGTTGAAGTCGTCACAGCAGATCGGGTCCAGCTAGTAATCTATGCTTGTTTGGTGTCTCAGTTGGTTCACATGCCTTTTTACGGTTCTTTTATCTGTCTCGATTTCGAAAATCACAAAATGTGCCTTTCTGATGATATAATCCATTCAGGGTTGTTTTTCTAAAACATAACTTCATGCGTATGCACATGAAGGAGAGAAGGGCGCATATAGAGGTACACTGGAATGCAACAAAATAATGAGAGCACTTTGCTGAGCTCTTTTCAGACCCCTATGTCCGTAGCATTGTGTAGTTTGTTTTATATAAAACAGAAACGGACGTCGACAGTTCGATCCTCATCATCGATGACACATTCCGATGCTCAACGAGGTGGGTGCAGCAGAGTTGACTGGAGCATGCATTTCCTTATGATGAAAATGACTTGCCTCTGTCTCACTCTACCCTCCCAATTCTACTTTGCCCTGGTGAAGAAGTAAAGCTAAGACGACCGTGGGCGCGTGCCACACGCGACTCAATTTTAACTTCACGTACAGAGCCACACCAAGTGGAATGCCTCCCATTTAAGTGATATGTGCATGTAACCAAATGTCATATTTCGTCTGCCGTACCAACGTCACCGAAGTGGCCGCATGCAGGGTGCATGAGGGCCGAATTATGTGTTTCAGAGAGGTGTCTCGTATACCCGTTCCGCTGAGTAAGTAAGTGTGTATTCTAGGAGATGTGCACAGGTGCAGATAGGACGAGGCAGCATATGTGGTCTAGACCGGGTTGTTTTCATATGAATTCGTATGACCGAATGTCTTGGGCCAGTGCAAGTTAGTGAGACGGAAATGCGTTGCGGTTGCTGACACTGTTTTGCCGGTTGTGTTCTAATGGGTTCTCGCGAGACTAGGCACACCGATGCGTGATTAGAAGGTGCAGTTTCAATGGGGACAAGTTGGGATTGAACACGCAATGCTGATAGTACTCGAAAGGATGAGAGAGTATGTCGGTGGATTTACATCTGCGATGTTGTTGATAGTGACAACGTTCTGTGCCTGTGATGTTGTTCCGGGCCGGCTGTTATGACGTGGATCCGAAGGTATCCGACGGGCACGACACGTATGCTTAGCAACGGTCGACAATGCGGACGTGCTGGTAGATGTTGGGTGTTTCAAGCAGTGGTCCATTTTGCAGGAGATGTGCGTGGCCCCTCCCTCTTCGCTCTAACCCTTATAGTGCGGTAGGCGTCGAAGCTTGCGAATCCAGTTCTCGTGGCAGGGCAACATTTGGCGATTCTGGGCAAGGTCTTTCAATGTGACAAGACTGGATCGTAGGTGGCCTTCATGGTATCCTTGTAGAGGCGCTTTTTGTGTATCACATGTAACGGCATCACCGTAGAAGAATCGCCTTAACAGTGGCTTATCATCCACCTTTACGACGTGGCCGCTCCATTGTGATCGCAATCGCCCCAACGTAGATGGTGAGAACGTGGGTACTTCCCAGGACTTCGGTGTTAGGGATCTCTTTTTGCCATTCAGCTTCAGCATAGCACGGACGCAACTGCGGTGAAAATTCTTCAGCATCTTTGCTCGCTTTTTTCCGACTATCAACGTCTTTGTCTGTATAGGAACATTATCAGGATAACAGATCGGTACATCTCCAGTCCCTGAATTGACCACAGTACACGGGCGAGGGTCTGACTGGGCTTTTATATAGATTCGGTAGGTAATTCCATCGCTAACTTTGATATTTCTGAAACCTTAGTCCTCAGGTACACTTCCACAAGGCACGTCGTGCAACGCTCCATTAGCATGTACGGAATCCACTTTGCCAGGGTCCGCTTGGTGGGCAAAACGCCGCATACCAGAAAATGTGTATCCCACTTAGGTAGGATGCACGTCTCTTGGCGTAACCTGGCACGTGACTTTGAGACTGGGTCGAGTGTGGCACGAGTGGACGGGCTGTTGACCTTTATCGGCCACTGCGCCCTAGCCCCCCATCCGGCCGCCCTGGCATTGTCCCACCGTCAGACCAAAATGGGTGAGGGAACAACTCTGTCTCATTATAAACTGATTCACGTGCAAGTCGTCGCTGCTGGGCGTACCTACTGGGTCAACGGTGAGCGTCATCGCTTGCGACGGCAGGGCTGTTAGCTGCAAGTAACACACTGATTCCCCTTCTACCGTGGTTAGTGTTGCCTCCGTCTTCACTGGCCGTGGCGATCATTGGCGACCTTGAAGGTTTCCAGCCTTCATTGTCATTTTTAAGTAGGTTTGCAAGGGCAGGTAGGGTGTAGCCAAGTATGTGTGACCGTTAACTGGAGGGTCAGCTGATACTTAGGCTTCGTGCACTCGCCTTGATCTGTAGTCGTTACCCTGTTCCAAAGTTGAACATGTGTCCCGCCTGCACGGTACTTATTGCTGACATTGGGGCTAACCTCCGGACGGCTAACTGGTGTTCATGCATTTACTTTCACAGCCCTCAAAAAGTTTCTCACGCGTAGTTGCCCTCTACCCAGTGGCATTAAAGCCGATTAGCAACGGCCAACTTCTGTCTCGGTATGAGGTTATTTGGGTGCATCACTTACCGGCAGCGTTAAGTTAGGCCTATGAACGACTACGATTACTAGCGGCGCGGCAAGTTTAGCGAAAGTCTCGAAGACGTCCTTTACATGTGGAAAGCACCACCAAAATTGCGGTCAGCGGGACTCTTCACTCCGTTGAGGCAAGTGACAATCTCAATAAATGCTGGAAATAGGCGTTGGCTCTGAAGAGCTCTCAGGGACACCTGACTCCATTCCAACCAGTGACTGCTGTGCTGGGGAGTTTTGATTAGACAATACAACTTGCGTACATGACTTTGCGTTATAGTGAGTAATCGCTATTGTATTTATCGCGTGTTGCTCGGTTTCCCCGTCTATTGTGGTCAGCAGATGCTCGTTCAATCGGCAAAACGTCTGAAAACGAAGGTCCGTCATCCATTCCCCATTCCGTTAGGGATCATTTAGTTCGGGTGTGCTTCTCGGTAACGCGTCCATCCCTACTGGCGTCTCTCCTTCCTTTAGTAGAAGACGTAAGCTACAATATAACACCAAACCACTGCACCCCCTCGTAATCGCGCCACGTGCCTCAACATAGACACGACATGGGGACTCTTTGAATTAACCTTTGCGCATTTCCTTCCAAATCGCAAGACCTACTCCTAGGCTGAGCTGAAAATCTGTTGGAATTATAAGGCAAAACGCACACTCTTCCCTCCTTCCCACCTGGACCTGGTGTCAAGACAGATTCAAGGAGACTACAGGCAGGGGAGGGCGCATGCGGCTGGCACGGCTGGACCCGCACCTAGGTGCATCACTTCACACCCTTTAGTCCACAACACTTGCCCAGAATTTTAACCAACAACAGCAAACAACGGGTCAGTAAACACGAGGGTGGCTGGGCAACCGTGCGCATGACTTGTATGCGTGGGGCACAAGCGCATCTACCGGAAGGGAACCAGGTGCCAGATAACAGCCAACGCATACCAGTCTGCAACGACTATGATTGGCTGGATCCTGGCACAGCAGACGCCCACAATCCTTTAGGCCCAGAAGTGTGGGACGCAGCTCTGCATTTAGCCTGGACCATTACCCTTCAAAAGCCGGATGGCCAGTCAGTCATCGACTGAGAGGCACTACCCATATGCGCACATACGCCTCACATGCGAGAATGCCAGTGGTCACTTAAAAGGGAGCTGTGACAGCCTGGCTCTCAGCTCACTTGTCCGCCACTCCACATAAACACACAAGACTCGGTTGACTGCATGGACTGAGTTGAGGCGTCAGTCGGCAGCCTTCCGAACAACAGAGCTTGGCGCAACGTAATAGTCTCATACTCGGGTCACACACGCAGCAGAATAGCCGAGAAGCATGTTTTCCACTCAAGGGAGAGAAGTCAATTGAGTGCTTGGGTTGTGGGGCGATGGCTGATGTGTGATGCAGGTGCTGGTGGGGAAGGTGTGAGGGTGTGACATGAATGGCGGTGGTCTACCGCAGGTTTTTGTGATGCACATGTGGCCTAACAGGCCCATGCCATAGGTGAATGTGCGGGGGTATTGTGTACAGTGGAGGCGAATGCGGCGAGTGTAGGTCGGTACTCCAGGCACTGGTTCGCAAGTCTGTGTCCGATGGATTTGCAAGTAACCGACCCGACTGATTTGTGAGACGAATTTGAGATCGCAATAAGGAGAGATATGAACCGAGTCCACATCGCCGGACGTGTTGGTGATGTTTGAAGTGAATAGGACTTTGGACGTGTCCAGTAGGTGAGGGAGTGCTTGAGGTCAGTTCTAATGTTGCTGGTACTGATCGCTGTGGTCGACGCAGCAGGGGGTGGGGGGGGGGGGGGGGGGGTGGTGTCGATGGGGGATGTCGGCTGGGTGGCGACTGTGTGAACGGCGGTGACAGGGATGGCGGTCGGCTTGGGGTTTGCGGTAGAGGCGAGAGTGGAAGGGGAAGTAAATGTTGTTGTTCTGGTGGCAAATTGGTTCCGAAGATGTTCAATAAAACCGATTTTTGCCCGAAACGTCCGTAGACATCGTGGGCAGATTGGGAGCGGTTAGACGTTAGCGTTGCTGTGTGGGGACAGTTGCAATTTTCGAGCCCCACGTTTGGCTTTGGCGTCGGTAAAGTGGTTGGCTTCGTTGATCGTTGCGTCGGTCTTTGCTGTCCTCATCCAGGTCGGTCGGTCTCGGGCGAGGTTTTCCCAGTTCATAGACGGTGGTCGTGGATACACGCCACTGTAAGTGCATGTGCCTGTGGTTAAGGAGGTGGTCGTCCGTCCTGCGGATCCCAGGGCGTTCATCAGCATGGCAGAGAACCTAAGGCTGAAGAGGGTGGGCGCGAGGTAGTCCTGCTTCACTACGTTGGTCACTGGGAATGCCTCTGTGACAGCTCCATTGCCCGTGACTCGCGCGATCATGCCATCGTGGGGCTGACGCACCATCTGAGTGAATCGTTCGGGACAGCCGAATTTCTGCATGATTTCCCACAGTCCGTCACGATTCATCGTGTCGAGGGCTTTCTTCAGATCCACGAAGGTAGAGTACAGGCGAACCCGAATCTCCTGACACCTACTGCAATTGACAGGCGGCGAAGATCATGTCCGTGGTCCCACGATGGCGGCGAAAGCTGTATTGGCTTTCCGGCAGGAGACTTTGGTGTGAACCACAGGCAATAAGACACACAGACAGCAATATTTCGTGAGGGCGTGAGACAAGTAGCTTTTTTCGTAGCACTCCGCAGGACGAGGTGTAAAGTCACAAAGTAGTAACTTGAATCTCTCTTTTTCCCCAACATGTTCATGGTTTATGCCCTTCACCTTCTGAGAGACGCCAGAGAAGACCGCTCAAGAAAATCACTACAGTCCAATCAATCATAAACCGCGACCTTGATTTTTTGGGATTGCAAGGCATACCTTATCCCCATAGGAGGGACACTCAAATGAGCAGACCCGAGATTGTGCGTGAACTGTAATACACACCTGCTGGGTGCTGGTATGACATAGGGAAATATGGAACTCACGTGGCCTTGCTGTGACTTCTCTCGCCGCACAAGCCTTCTACTCCACTCTGCACCAAAGTTAACTTATAGTCACTACAGTCGTACCTTATTCTAGGCTGACACACCACAGCTACTTTTAGTTTAGATTTTGTCTGACAGGACGTCGGTCTTACAACCATCGAATGAAGTGCAAACCCAGGATCCCGGGGATACTTGTCTGCAGTAGTAACTTTCGTCGAGTTCCTTAATCTAGCACCATTGCTTTCTTCGTTATTGGCATACCAACCGTAGAAACCTCACAGCCTTTGGCTGTTAGGTTTATTTTCTGGGTAACCGTCAAATAAGCCGCCGCTGATGCGGTTTAGAGCCGCTTATTGCTTCTATTCGTGTGGGGATGATCTTGAGTATCTCTTATCGAGTCGACGTACCGGATGGCCTTCTTATGCCGAAAATACAGGCTCGTAACACAGGATAAGAGTCCCTCCCTTTTCTCAAATTTACCTCCCGAATCTCTTGACTTTGCCAATCTGAGAGAGATGAGTATTGGGAAAAGGAAGATACGGTTAGCTTATTTTTAATTCCGAAGCCGCTGGTGTCGGAAGAAGGCTTAGAGCCAATGAGTAAAATGTATAAGACTGACATCGTCCCAAAATCGTCGATGCAATAAGAAGGCTGCACAGAAACAAGGCGCCCGGAGCGGAGAGAAATCCTTGTGTTTGCCTTTAACGTGGAAAATTTGACAGTGTGAGTCTCATGGACGTTACTGTGAAGGTCTTCACTCCCGTCGTTCTCAGACGACTTCATGATGTGCGTGACTCAAGGACGTGACCAAACCAAGCCAGGTTCCAAGCTAGGTGTGGATGCGCAGGCCAGATATTCACACTGGGGAGCGTTCTTGAGCTTCGCCAGGGCTACCAGCAACCGATAGTCGTCTGTTGTGGATAACGGAACCAGATGGTACGTCGGTGAAATCACCGTCATGATCAAGGCCTGCTATCGTCCCACTAATGAGCAATTTCTGGTTCATAATAATCTTTCCCAACCGTTCGATATTCGATAAGACTGCATTGCGTCGCCCATACTGTTGAACCACGCCACTGACTTACATGGTTTTAACGGTGTTGAGTCTGAACCCGAGCGTCCGCTGATTACGTTGACGATATCTCCCTCTAGCGTCAGGCCTCGGTTACCTACAGACTACGGTGTCGCAGGCGAATGAAGTCGCTGAATCTGCCAGTTTACCCATCAACGTGAAGATAACCAGTGTTTTAGACAGGCATTCTTGATCAAAAGACTCGTCCTCAGGATTGATGGTTGTCAACTTGAGGAATAGGCACTTCCAAATACCTTGTGGAGAGGCTGCTGCCGAATGAACAAAGTAAGGATGACATCGTCTCTCGAACCGATGTCACCCGCAGGGCTTTCACAGCCGTTAAGAGGTTTATGGATCCGACGAGGCATCTCTATTGCTACAAAGAGCCGTGTATGCCGGACATCCGTCCCTCTTATACGGCTGCGAACAGGGGTTGTACGTGTGGAAAGTGAGCGAAAACTGGAGGTTTATCCACTGCCTGAGGACCATCCTTCGACTGAGGTACACCGACTTCGTTTCAGGTGAGTAAGTGCCCACTTGCTGTGACATCGCGAGGATACCTCTGACCACTAATGTGTTTTGCGTACATTCTTCGTCCGCCTCATAAGCTAGGTGTCGTCCCTGACCCGACGCCGTTGCCCACCTAAGGACGTCGAAGAGATCAACTCGCAACTTGATATCACACAGTTCGCCAAGATACAGAAGTCCTTCTTGGACCTCAGTTACTCGGTCTCCGCCGTTGGTGGAATAGATCGGACTCCCCAGATCTGCCGTCGCGGACCGTCACATGTAATAAGGTACAATCTGCAACATCGTCGATGCCGGCTAGATTAGGTATGATCACAACTGTACCAAGTACGAGGAAGTACATTGTCTGGGAATCCAAAATGATTGCAGAATCGTCTCCCCGTCATCACGGTAAATAATGATCTCGATAAACTCCCAAGCACAAACAAATTACTGCCTACCTAGGCGCTTCCTGCTCTGATTATGCTAAAAAGTGGAACAGCCAGAGCATGCAAGGCTGAGGGCCCGACTAAAAAGCTTCTAGCTAATAGTTAAAAGTCTGGCCCGTTTGTATGGAGAGCAGTCCTTCTAAACTTTTTCATGTCAGACAGAATCATCAATTAGCCATCCAGAGAAAACTAATCTTCATTTGTGAACTGTTTGAAGGTGAACAATCCTGTTTAATGCTGATAGCAGTCATATACGGCAACTAATACATTGACAATAATCCCGAACGGCAGGAATTCCGGGAAGACGAGCTACCTGTTAGTCTGACTGCGACTAACTTGGCGTGTCCAGCAAAGGCAGATAGTGGAATGACCTTTAGCCGGGGTTCACTGTGAAGGATGCAGGCTCTCGCGTCTAGAGAATCAACGGTGCAAATAAGGCAGCGATACGTTCAGGCGTGTGTAGACAAATCATATAGCAACTCCAGTGGCTACCAAAAGATCACAAGCCATAACTCACAGCGGTTTTATGACATGCAGGAAGAATTCGCTAGCCTGCTGGCACAATTCTCGAGCGTTAAATCGGAGGGCCAGGAGATGGGAGTATTCTCCTTCGAGCCCAGGAAATACAGAAAGCCGTATGTCCACGAAGTCGGCTAACGCAACTCCCTGTCGGCCGAGCCATTGGCTTAAGCGGGCTTTCAGATCACCCGGAAGACTGCGTCGATGACCAATAGTATTAAAAGCAGTGATTCCCTGTCCAATAGCAGCGGGCAGACGACCAATCGAGTTTGTTGCTGCACGTCTATGGTCGCAGTGCTCGAACACGACAAAAAACAACATATTTGGCAAAGCTCGTTCATAAAACGAAGTAATATTTTACTGATAGAAAAGCTAAGAAGACACTATATATTTCCTTCATTGTTGTTGTTGCTGCATACGTCCGACCAGGGCTTGGAAACGATTACGCAGAAGCACGGAAACATCAATGTAGCGTTCGACACAGTTTTTCAAACAGTTGGCCCGCTTGTCGTCCATTTTAGCCCCGGGGGTTCCAGTATAGCACAGATCCCAACACCGACCGGTCAGATTAGACACCTGGTTCTGAAATTCGGCTTGTGTTTGCAGTTTCTGGAGAGCCATTTTCATTTCATTATCTGAAGCGTTTTGCTGCAAAGAGTCTTCCGAGAATGTTGGTGGCGAGGATTCAAACCTGTGGAATAAAAATTTTCTCAGGCCTGATGCGAGCTTTTGACCCACCGGTAAGGCCACAAAAGACTACCTGTGGAAACACGTGGGAGGCGGGGGGGATGAACAGCTATTTACTAGTGGCAGTAACCTTAACGCAAACAGAATCGAAAGCATTTTGGTATGCGGTGGCAGGTAAAATCAGTACTACTGGGCGCAAGTTTCGAAACAACTCTATGGAAATAATTGATATATCCTAAGTGGAGTCTTGTCCTCATATTTGCACTTTAATTATTAACAGATAAAAGGTGATCAAAAATCACTAATAAAAGAGGGGTCTCTGCACTCAGTCCTGCTTCTACTCGTCTATCGTAGCCTAAACGTGCAATGCGTTGGGAGTGCATAACTTCCGAAAGACGGAACCGTTAATTGGGAAAACTGTTGGCCACACGGCGCGTCCACATGTGGTGAATGGGGGATCGGTCTTCAGCAAAGGCCGGGTGCGAGATGAGCAGATCTCTAGGCAGTCAAGGGACAGCAACGGCAACGCTACCATGGGGCAAATAAAAGAGGTCAGGTACACCGACTGGTTTACAAAATACTATGGAGCCAAATGAGGGTACTACAATATGACGACTGAAGCAGCATAAGACAGGCTCTCTGGTGTCCGATGCCTGGCGACTCGGTTCCAGTATGCCAATGCGACGGAGGACAAAAACTCCGAAAGCAGTGCTGATAACATATTTAACGACAAAGCGCAAACGTTTCAACGGAAAATGCACCAAACACAGTTGCAAATAGTCCCACATGACTTGCTGCGGTACTCGCCCTGTCTCGATTTGGCGTTCTTGCCAGTTTAAAAAGATGCACTCATGGCTGTCCCTGGCATTTCACTTGGCAAAAGCGACAAGGTTGTCATATCTTTTGGAACTGAGGTCAGATCCCGCAGTTATCCTCAGTATAACAAACGCACGAGGTTATAACGACGCGCGAACATCAAATTCCAGGGAAATATGGTTTCAAGACCACATTGACGCACGCTTAGCATGTCAGCCATTCTCAGGACCTAGGTGTCCGGGATCCCTTTCCACCACTTCACATTTAATATCCTTTAAAGGCAGCTTAAGTTTCAGACTCGTGAATCTCCATCTTAAGCAGGTCTCCTTATCACAAGCCTCGATTCATGCTATGGCAGCCGTGAGAACCGATGCGTCTGGGCCTATGCCAAGAGGCCAGATGGCAAGTATACAAGCTGGCCTCTTCGAAAAGGAAGAAATAACTGCGAGTCACATGTTGGAACGTGAGAACTCTCACACCGGTAACACAGAGTCTTGTCATGTGGGCGTTAGTGTATTGCAACGTAGACATTGCCTGCCTCTCAAAGATGGGCTTGCCAGACCATGACTCGAGGGTGCAATGTACAAAGAAATGCATCAATTTCCACCAAAACGGCGTCACCGACAACTGGCTAACATGTTGCCTTAGTTCCTTTGAATTGTCAAGCCAAACCTTCACTTACATATTGAGAACCGGTGTCATCCTGAACTGCACTTGTGCGTCTTTGTGATGCTGCTGTAGATGCTAAAGTGGATACGAATAGCATGCAAAATAGGTCTCTTATGACGAAGTTCACGCGATAGTCAAATGTGTCTCAGAAAGTGACCTTGACGTTGCCCACAATGCAAGACAGGGAAGCCTAACGCATATACTAGGAGAGTAACTGACCGCTGCGCGCACAATACGATTCGACTCCCAGCTCTCGGTGGGGTGTCGTAGTTCAGGTGGTTAGATCCTTGGCTTTATTCAGGCCTTGCTCTCGTTGTCGCGGGTTCGAACACAACCGATGTCGACGAGTTTTTCGCAATTGGATCCAATGAATTAAAAGCCCGTCACTTTTGCCGTGTCGAACCACTTAATTATTACGAACACCCCACAGGGCATGCAGCTACACCGAACTCCAATAATGACCGCACTCTAAGTCAGATTAGGTGCATGTTTCTCCGCGCACGATAGACAAGCTCGATCTCTGACTCTAGCGGAATACGTTGTGTCAACATCGGCAAGAAGAACAGCTTTGGTCATGCTCGTATGAGGGTCCTGCTGACTACGTGGCGTTGAAAGAGCATTAACTGTGAGAAGTTGCAGTGTCGACCATCTCGGAGATCCCGTCACAGTCACAAGCTTCCGCATGATTGTCTCCGGTCGCTGCCACAGTGACAGACAACAAATGGTTTAAAGAAGTCGCCCTTGAAAGAAATTCGTTCGAACTGAAGCAGACCCTACGGCACCTCTCAGGAAGTTAGGGCATAGTAGGCGTCTCTAGATGGATCGCATCCGTCCTGGGACGACCAGACTGGCTGACAGTGCAAATATCGCCCGTCTGCGAGTCAATTCGAACTTTAGGGAATTAGATCATTAGATTACGCGGTCTGCTTGGCGTGAATGCAACGAACTCTGGGATAAAACTGTCCGAGATCTGGAACGCGCTTCAATAGCGACATCTAGCGGCGATATAGGATGTTAAGCGCAAACCAGCATTCAGCCCGTCAGCAGTAAAGATATGCGACAATCGACGTGTGGCGATAACGTCACCGGTACATACGGCCTTCCGATGAAAAACATTTCCTTGCGTCTGTGAACCTTGCAATCTAGTTTGTTCTAGACGAAGTCCGGCTAAACAACTAAGTATCTGGCGCGGATCGACTTCCGATAGAAGGCTACAAATGCTGCTCGATTGTTATATCTGACAGCTTACACAAAAATCTGGTCCGCAATTGGGAAGTAGGGGCTGTGTCCACAGAATGGTTTGACGTTAATATACGCAGATCCTTAAGACGGCGGACCGCTGTGGAGGAAATACCGTGGATATAGCCATTTGATACCACCTCAAGAATCTTCGCAGTCGCCCTCCTGAATCACTTCCGCTTGTACTACGACGCGCGAACAAGAAGGAATCAGTGCGACTCGCGACTGGGATAGGCATGATCTCATCGGAACTTTTACTTCGCCCAATCTTCAAGCACAACTGCTGAGGTTGACAGCTCGCTTTTGTCTGCTTCATCGATTTTGACTGAATTAGACTCTGCTCATTAGGCTGGCAGACCACTCCAGCGTTAGAGTGAGTCGTGGTCCGTACACGATGAATCTGGACTGCGCCGATGACGACGTGGTGGTAGCAAGCTCAATTTAAAAAAGTGTACCCCGTAGCGTCTCAGACAGACGCGAAGACAGTCAGACAGTCAAAAGGAAAATGAGCACTTCGGGCTTCATAATTGGATATATTTGCTCGGTCGGGGTAGACAGTGACAGTACAGAGCTAGCGGACAATTTCTACTACTATGGGTCAGACCTTCTGAAGCGAGGCAAAGATAGAATGCACTACCAAAACAACCGGAAGTACAAGACCTTTGGAGTCGACATGAAACCAACCTGCAGACCAAGCAATCATTGAGACAGCCCTATATGAGTGTATGGAGGCCATTACGCTCAGGTTTGCGCCATCTGGCTGACCGACGACGCCTGCACTCTAATCTCCGAGTTTGTCTTTCTGACTGCGTCTCAACCCGCGTCCATGTCTTCGATGAAAAACGTAACCCGTAAACCCCGCCCCGTTTACTTACCAATTAAGATGGCTCACTTATGTTAGGTGCAAACCTGAGGGCAAAGTAAGTGACCTGAAAGACTGCAATTGCCCCGCTAACTCGGTTCCCCTGCAAATGAAGAGCTACACGTCGTCGGAAAATTAAATGAGCGATGCGCCACTCAATAAGCGTACTACAAAGAACGGTTGGGTACATTAGATTGCCCGGTTTAGAGTTAAAATCGGCCTCATCTCGGGTCAGGGGTCTTGTCACTTATGACGCCTAATTAAAAGGAGTAAGATTCCTCCATCACCTATTGGCCTGACTTTCTGATAAACATATCCTCTGGTGACGTAGCATTAAATAGTGGTCGCAGTCGTTCTAACCATGTCGGTTTCCAAATCGGTGAGATGGGTTCAAGCAGCAGCGATTTCAAATATTGGTATGGAACATACCACGAAGGGATCTGCCAAGAAGGTACTGATAACAACCGCGCTAGGTGGATAGTTAAGAAACTCAGGTAATGAGTGAAAAACACGCAAAAGAAGACTCGCATTTGTGCAAGGCTAGGGACAGTGGAAATGTCAGTAGTAGAGCGTCTTGATGGACTGAATGCGAATCAAGCACCCGCAGGTCAATGCAATAGGCTTGATGAGCGAAACTACACAGCATATATCTTTCAGTCAAGTCTACACTGACATTTTGTAGTCAAGTTACAGGCTATGGTGAGTACTAAGATCCTGCGGTCGCGGACCGATGCAAACAACCTCAATTTCGCATGCATACGAAAGCACCGTCTCATTGGCGAAATCGCGGACATACCGGGTCGAGTAAGCCACTAAATGCCTCGCGTTACGAGCTGCAGGGATGCTCCTGATGGGGGACGGGGAAAGAACTGTCTGTTTGGCCGCACAAAATGTACATGCACGCGCACGCATTGACATTGATAAGCAACCAGCGGGTAATGCGCATTCGCCACCGGTTGCTTATCTGGCATGTTGGCATCACCTCCTTGACGTAACTCATCCCTGCTTGCATCACTAGCTATTATTTGTACAAATCCTCTTCTGTACCTATCACACAAATACCTGTGCTCGCCAAACGTTTATACCATGTCATTTGGATGAGTTCAATGACGCGAATAACAATTCGCTTCAGTTCGTTGCAAGCCAAGAGTTATTTCCAGTGTTTCACGCTACCACGTGTGTCCTAATTTAAACGTTTTCGTCCACTACACCTGCAGCAGCTGAAAAGTAGCTCCGGCCATCCAATCAAGACAGCATGAGGCCAAATACATGCGAGGATTTGACGATCACCCATAAGTCAAACGAGGCGTTAGGCTGTCCAGACTTCTGACGAAGGCATGCCATGGTTGAGTTTATCTGCAGACTTATTAGGCTTCTGGTGGGTTCGAGGGTAGATATTCGTAAAATAAAAGCTCAAGATTTGTTTGCTCAACAGCTATGATTCAAAATGTACGACTGGAAAAGTCGCACTAAGGAAGGGGACAGATAAAGAAAAGTACAATGATTCGATGGGTCAACGCACCCATAAGACATTGTCACGCGGAGCCTGGAAGAGACGCAAGAGTCGGAGTTTCGCAAGAGTGGTTTGAGAAATTGAACATATAAACAAAGTCCTCAAGGTTCCACGTGCGGTTATTGTTTTGTCCAGAAACCCACAAACTCCTAAATGTCTCAACGACTTTTTAGCAGGGTAAACACAAGTTAATAACTAAGCTTAATAAACTTCGAGTAAATTTACAAAAGGGTTGTGTGAGTTACAGCTAGGTGATTGCTCGCTGAAGTCGTCGGTAAAGGATTCCGGATCTACGCGTTCACGAAAGACTCTGGGGACAACAAAATAGCGATTCTCGAGAAATTGTGGGATTTTGCATCCAAACCAACGATCGGAGCGCCTGGCAGAAATTTAGAATGGGGGGAGCTGCAAGTATGACATCGACCACAGCGCGGTACGACAACACTTGACGGCACAAAAAGTCAAACGCAATACTAGCACCGCTTATCAGACAAGAATGACATGGCCAAGGCTGAAAGGAACGAGTGCGCATGTGGTAAATATTTATCATATGTATACAAGACCATACGAAAGACGTACGGGACTAAACCTTGACAACAATCGGATAAAACTAAACTGAAAAGAATAGAGACAAGCAAAGTAAAAGACGGAACGTAAAAGGAAAGGACGACCAACGATTGGCTGTAAGTAGCATATAGCTATCAGAAGGCGTCTTTTGTAGGTTATGCGCTCTGGAAAACTCTGTGGCCATGGGGAGCCAGCACTCCTTCCCAGACGTCCTGGTCTGAAAGTACAAACGGCAATTGACATGTCGGCATTGTGCACGGTCTCCAGGAGGACGTACAGGTCTGCGCATACCACCTTCGCCTTGCCGGAACTGGTCACTGGGGAGCGCGTGTGCTGACAACGGTGGTAATTTTGCTTTCCCAAATGGGCTGACATTATATCAGGAAGCGATCATTGATACCCTGAGACAGACTGTTCATTCGTCTCATGGTGTCGTCCCAGAAGGCAAATTTGATGCCAGCATCTCGTCGTTCTGTCTTTGAGCGGTCTCCCTAGAAGGTGTAGTCGGCACCCACCTTATCCAGTTGGTCTTGTTCAGAGAAGCAGGCCTTTCTGATGGCAGCAATGCCAACCTCATGGGGGTCCAGTTCTCCAGCAGCTTCCACGATTCTCCATTTCTGAGGGTTGCCCCGTCGAACCTCTAAACGAGAGTGAGCATTCCGAGCTGATAAAGTGATCAGAGTAACTTCAGTAGTCTGGTGAATGTGAAAGACGAGGAGAATACGGGAACGAGGATTGTTGTTCGTTTAACTGTTTCTACCGTGAATTGCGCATCTGTGGGTCACAATCGGCGTACAGATGACGTGAACCCAGTAGTTCCTTAAAACACATATTCGAACCCCTTCTTCTGCGAGGAGTAAGCAGTGACGTCTTCAAATTGGGCTGTTTGGCATCGTAGACTGATGTCAAACTCTAGCATTGGTTACAGCTTCCTTTATGGAGAGAGCGACATAAATCAACCCGGAATGCCTACAGGACCGCATACAGCCTTCTCCGTATGATTTTATAGCATGGGAGAGAGGGAGAAGAAAGGGGAGAGGGCGTACAATAATCGGGTGTAGGAACATACAGGATCGTACACCCCCATCTGGCTTGGCCCGTCGACTGAGGCGGTTACCGAGCAGAGCCCAGCTTTGTCGAGTCACAGATGAGATTTTGGTGTCAATTATGCGCCACGCGGAGCGGTCACCGCTTGTAATTCACTATATATAAGGGAAGAAAGCAGAGCCTTTAAAGACTGTATTTACAGACATGGACTGGACAAAAACGGGTACATGTTTCGTTCAGGGGCGCCATGCCTGAATGCAATATTCTGATATCAGCCAGATAAAGGTTTCAAAACCAAGCTCTTCGTTTAAGTTAAGCAAGGATCTCCTGATCGCTCCCATGATACCCATGATCTTCTCTGCCATCTTGACGCAGTGAGGCGAGGGTTTGGGAGTGGATGTCATCTACAGACCTAGGTCCATTAACTCGTTAACTAGCTCGGGTTCATGATCTCTGATGAAGAACTGACCCTCAAATCTCATAGCCCTCCTGTAACTAGGCCTTAGTCGGAAGAATTGGCATTTGTTGAAATTGATGTTGAGAAGCCATAAATCATACCACTGCTGCAGTCGACCTAAGTTGATTTGCAAGTTTAGCGCGTGCTCTGACTTTTCAATCGAACTCCATATCTTCAGATCATCAGCGGACATTACCTTCTCGCAGGTCAGACAATCTGGGCAACCGTTCGCATATATTAAGGATAGAATGGGACCCAGGATGCTCCTCTGCGGAACACCGCTCTGAACGACCTCCCACTCTGATTTGGCGTCACCCATGCAAACCCGCTGACATCGGCCTGCAAGAAAGTCGGCCAAACTCTTGAGGAGGTCGCCAGTCACGCCCAATTGACACGGTTTAGCTATTGACTGTCTGTGTGAAACCATGTCAAAGGCTTTGCTGAGTCAATGTCGACTTTTAAGGAGTAGATTTTTAAGGAGTTCGTCCAAATTTCCATGGACGTGAGCCGGCTAGTGGGACAGGATCGACCGCTCCTAAATCCATGTTAATGAGCAGTCAGCAAGTTGTTCGCCCAGCATGCCCCATCAGTTTGCAACAAAGGCCTGTGAAAATCACTAGACTGAAGCTATTTGGCGAGGTTCTTTCTCCCCATTCGCTAGCTTTAGGTCAGCAGGCAGTCCCCGCTTGAAGGTCTTGGAGAACGATTCAGTGAGCGGTGGCCGTCCTAGAGTTTTCCTTACTGCGTCCGTTGTGAACTTCACCGTGTTAATTGTATTTCTAGATGGAGAAGTTTGTCGGTGTACTTTTTCATCAAAAGGCGGATCTTCGGCACACACGGACATGAAGAAATCGGATAAGATATTAGTCTTATTTGAATTATCGGTTAACTTATTTCCTTGCTAATTCTTTTTACAAGGAATGGAGTCTAGATTGCGTTTTGCCCTAACGACGTATGCGAAGAACTTCTTCGGATTCATCGACATTTCTTGAACTATTTTTGACTCAAATGCTGCTCCTTCTTCCCTGAGGAGACTCTGACACCTATTCAGCTGTTTCTCAAATTCTGAAAAGTGTACGGACTGTTGACATATGGCGTAGCTTTTTCACAGTCTCCTTTACTTTTTAAGATTTCTTTTTGTTTCTGACGTCACTTACTCTGGTTGGGAGACATACAACCTCCTTTTATGCGGGCAACGGTTCTCTACCAAGTGCCAAAGCATGTTCTCAAAGAAAACTCAGGCGGCGTTCGGGTCAGATACTTGAGCAGGGTTCCATTCTATCTCAGTCAACAGTTCTTTCATTTTGGAATAATCCCCTTTCCATATATATCCCTCCCCTACGGTTCGAATTTCGAGTACAGAAAACGACTGTGTTCCCGAACAAGATCTCAATGATCACTTCGACCCAAGGTCGTGCTAGAAGTCAATCCAAGTATGAACTTGTCATCCCTGGTAATGACGAGATACAATCAGCTTGACTCGTGTTAACGTCGAAATTTGGTCTCCTTGATAACGTTTTGAGTGAGGACACCACGAAACCTGCGGTGGGGAATTATATAGTTTGACCACTCTGACAGAGAACTTGAACTTCCGCCCATCCAGTTCTGCCTGCTGAGTGCACAGTTTTAGCGGGTGACCCCGGAGGTTGGTCGTGGTAGCAAATTCAAAAAGTCCTCGAAGCCCAGGTTGCAGTCCACTCCCATCGCAATGGGAAATGCTCGTAAGAGATCCCCGCACAGTTGCCTATGACTCAGAGGGAGGAAGTTCACATTTGTTAGATGGGTTGTATAAGGAAGAGATCTTTGAACCCTAACAATTTTCGCGGTTTTCCCCCGAACTCTTTCAAGACTATTTTAATCCTGGATCGTTCCAGGCCTGGTCTCCAGGCCTGCATGCCGTATTCCAAGTGCAGCCGCACGAATGTTCCGAAAATCTTTGAGAAGGCGTCTTCGCCAAAATCCGCAAATGAACACTTGATGACGAACAGTACAAACAATGCTCTTTTGCCACATTCGGACAATGAGCGGATGGTTTCAGGGACTTCGTCATCAGCATACCGAGGTCCTTTCGGGCTTCGACGTCTCGTAAGGCTGCACCACCCAAAAAATAGTCACTTGTGCTGGCGAATCTGGCTGTGTTGCCTAGGCGGAGTATGCTACACTTACCGAGGTTGAACCGCGGAAGCTAACAGTTTGATTACTCCTTCAACCGATTTGTGTTTATCTGCAGTCTGTCCTCGCCATCAGGGTCTCTCGATTACACTCCATATTTTCATGTTGCCAGCGAACAGTACTGCTTCACAGTCCAAAGATCTTGCGCAATCGTTCATGTATGTTAGGAATAACGTGGGCCCCAGTATTGAACTCTGGGGAAAACCACTGTCGGCCACAGCAGGACCTGATTTCCTTTGACTGATGAACACAACCTGCTGTTGACCCACAAGGAAGTTTTTTATCCATTTGAGGAAATTGCCTCTGATCTCTATTTTTTCAGTTTGTATTATAGTCTCCGTTGTGGCACAGTGTCAAATGCCCTCTGGAAGTCAATGAAAGCTATGTGGATCGCGCGCTTATCGCCGAGAGCTCGGGTCTATATTTTCAGACTTTCTTCTCCCTCGTTCTGGCGTCTTTTCAGTTCTGCTATTACTGTTCTTCATTTCATTCGATCGATTGGGGGGTAGTCTTGCTTAAACAACACTCCAAAGTTGTGATTCCATAGTCAGGATTTTTGAGAGATGATCAGATCTGCTTGCTGCTTGCCTCCTTAGAAGACTTTCAGTGGTTCTGGTCGCATTCCCTATGCGTTATCTTTAACTATAGACCACGAATGGAAAAGCTTTTGTATTTCAGTCGTGTCACCGGATTTTTGAGCGTCATTCACTAAATTTTGGAATGTCGAAGGATTTTGCTTGACCCTTCCCTTTGGGGCTTCACCAGTAATGATACTAA